AAAACACATTTTTCCGGGTTTAGCTTGATGTCATATGTTTGGAGGTTATCGAACGTAAGCCTCAAGTCATCTATCAGGGTTTCGACGTGTCTTGTTTTTATGACCACGTCGTCCACATATGCCTCCACGGTTTTGCTGATTTGCTTCTCCGGGCATGTTTGAATCATGCGTTGATAGGTTGCGCCGGCATTTTTAAGCCCGAAAGGCATAGTGTTGAAGCAGAAAGGACCATATGGCGTTATGAAGGCCGTTGCGGCCTGGTCGGACTCTGCCATCTTTATTTGATGGTATCTGGAGTATGCGTCGAGGAAACATAGTGAATCGTGTCCTACGGTGGAGTCGATGATTTGGTCGATGCGAGGGAGGGGGAAGGGATCCTTGGGGCAAGCCTTGTTGAGGTCTTTGAAATCGACGCATAGGCGCCAGGATTTGTCCTTCTTTGGTACCATTACCAGATTTGCCAGCCAATCCAGATGCTTGATATCTCTGATGAATCCGGCCTCAAATAGCTTGGCTAGCTCTTCTCCCATGGCTTGCCGTTTAGGCTCTGAGAAGCGCCTAAGAGTTTGTTTGACTGGCTTGTATCCTTTCAGTATATTGAGGCTGTGTTCGGCCAGCCTGCGTGGGATGCCCGGCATGTCCGAAGGATGCCAGGCGAATGTCCCAATTCTCGCGTAGGAAGTCTCATAGTGCGGCGTCCATTGTGGGGCTCAACTATGTCCCGATGGAAGCTGTCTTCATGGGGTCCGTTGGATGGACCTGGAATTTGACTATCTTGTCTGCGGGTTTAAATGATGTGGACTTGGGTCGTTTGTCGAGTATCACGTCGTCTCTGTCCATTATGGCGCGCAGCGTTGTTAGTTCTTCGGTCGCTAGGGCTTCGGATAATGCTTCCAGGGCTAGTGCTGCAGTTTTATTTTCGGTGCGGAGTGCAACATCCGGATCACTGGCTAGTGATGATTCCATTGGGTCCAGGCATTTTAAGCTTCATGTACCCGTAATGGGGTATAGCTTGAAAGCTTGTGAATGCGTCCCGCCCTAAAAGGGTGTGGTATCCGCTGCTGAAAGAAGCCACTTGGAATGTGATTTCTTCGGACCTGTAATTCTCCGGGGTGCCGAATACCACATCGAGTGTGATTTTTCCCGCACACCGTGCCTCCCGGCTAGGGATGATTCCCCTGAAGGTTGTGCCGCTTTGCTCAATGCGGATTTTATCAATTTCCATCTTGTTGAGTGTTTCTTTATAGATCAAGTTTAATCCGCTTCCGCCGTCCATGAGTACTTTAGTGAGTCGAAAGCCGTCCACGATTGGGCTAAGGACCAAAGCGGCTGGTGCCCGGACTGTCTGGAATTGGGGTTCGTCACTAGTGCTGAAAGTTATAGCAGTGTCGTTCCACGGATTTATTTTTGCCACGTGGCGGATTTTAGCGAAATCTCGATGGGCTCGCTTGCGCCTATTATTTGAGGTGAGAGCCTCAAAGACTATAAGTACCGCATTGTTGTCTTCGGCGAGATGTTGTTCTGCTTTATGGCTTACGAGAAGATCCTCGCCGCTTTTTGCTACCTGCCGGAGTATCTAGCATGCTCTAAGGCTATGCATTGGCGTAGTGTCCGGCGTGCTGTGAATTTTGCATGGCCCATTGAGCCATTCTTCCAATACGGTTCCACACCCTGGGGTGGGTATTGGTTTTTTGGGAATTGGATCGGGTAACTTACGAGAGTTTGCCCTTTTAGTTCGGAGGAAGGGTTTAGTGAGAGCCGGATTGTCCCAAAAGTCTGTTTGGGTTTTCCAGGCACTTTCCATTGCATAGTACTTCTATACTATGGCTGCTAAGTCGGCAAGTGTACTATGTCACGGCAACTTATTGCATTAAGGATCCCTTTGCTCGTGCAATTTTTGCAGAAAAGTGAGATTGCGTCCTCCTCACGACAGTCCTTGACCTTGTTTATCACAAGGAGGAACCTGGCCCAGTAGCGATGTACTATCTCTTGGGGATCTTGTCTGATATGGGAGAGACGGCTTAAGTCTGGAGGGTGGGCGTAGTTAAATCTAGTTTCTGATCCGATCTAACGCCCCGGGGCAGAGGAGCTTCCGGGCTTGACAGCTCGGGCTCCGGGGTGCTACCCGATTTTTCCGGCCCGTTGCCCGATTCTAAGTCCGGAGCCTCGGTCATGTCCTCCCGCGAACGGGTATCCGGCTCAGAGAGCTCGGTAATCCGGACATAGTTCGTCCTCAATATAGAGGGGTAATCCATGTGTGGCTCTTCCACTACCGCTATCTCGTGGGTGACCGGTGAGGATTTAATATCCCTTTGGTCGAGTTTAAGCCCAATCCAATCATAGTCTGTAGTGACTCCCAAAGCGGTGATGCAATCAAAAAGCTCATTGAGGGAGGAGAGCTCCATTGGATCCATCTGTTCGGCAAATTCCGAATTGACGTGGAGGCCGTTTTTGATGACCCGAGAGGTCATCATCGGCGCTGAAGCCGATCGAGCGGCCATGACGAAGCCGCCCAGTCGGAGAGTTTGGCCTACCGCCAGTGCTCCCCCCGAGGTGACGTTGTCCTTGACAACGAGACGGGCCATCGAGCCTTGCAGCGACGACACAGAGGAACTCTCAATGAAAGCACTAATGTCGGTGTCAAAACCGGAGGATCTCGGGTAGGGGGGTCTCAATCTGTGCGTCTAAGGCTAATGGTAACAGGAGGCAAGGGACACGATGTTTTACCCAGGTTTGGGCCCTCTCGATAGAGGTAAAACCCTACTTCCTACTTGATTGATCTTGATGATATGAGTATTACAAGAGTTGATCTACCACGAGATCGTAGAGGCTAAACCCTAGAAGCTAGCCTATGATGATTATGATTGTCCCTATACGGACCAAACCCTCCGGTTTATATAGACACCGGAGGGGGCTAGGGTTTACACAGAGTCGGTTACAAAGAAGGAAATCTAATATCCGGATCGCCAAGCTTGTCTTCCACGCAAAGGAGAGTCTCATCCGGACACAGGATGAAGTCTTGAGTCTTGTATCTTCACGGTCCATCAGTCCGGCCAAAGTATATAGTCCGGCTGTCCGGATACCCCCTAATCCAGGACTCCCTCACCTGCCAAGGTTGTTACCTCAGTCTGCTCTGAAGATGGACCAGTGGAAGATGGCGGCGACGACACATATGAGTGTGTCAGACCGGTTTGAGCCCCGGACCCGGCAGATGGCTCGGTCGGGGCCTCCGACTTTAGATGTTAGGCTTAGGTAACAGGTATGGGTATGTGGCTCAGCTTGCACCCCTTCATCATTTGGATAGGAGTAGCGGTGGATGCTGCCAAGATGGCGGATTGAGGCATATTGTTGTTATACTTTGTAAGGTCCTCAAGAATAATCAATAAAATGGCCGTATGCATCCCCCAGATGCAGAGACCGAGGTCATCCTCCTTCTCAAAAAGAAAAAAATCTTTCCGTAAGCCTAAAGGAAAATGTTTCTTTTATGAGATCCTCTAAATATAAAGACAGTTTACGGGAATGGTTGGAGACAAATTTTTGCCTCAACTTTTCCTAAACAGCGATTATTTTAAAGATAGGAAACTGTTGAAGTTGCTATTACATCCCTAGCCATTTGTACAAGACGACCACCACACAAGTGCAACATCCGTTCCAAAATAATTGAAATTCTGGAACACCATTTTGGTCTCTTGTAATCCTCTTTAACATATATTTCTATACTATTATATATTTTTTCAAAAAGGAGGATTACCCCGGGTCTCCGCATCGAGCGATGCACGCATTCATTTTTATTAAATTATTAAACAAGGCCTTATAAAATAAATATGTAGATCAACCCAAAACCATCTTTCTAACGAAAACTGTCGCCCAATCTAGCTACAAGATTAATATTATGCCCTGACCTCGTGCCATGCACATCAAAAAATCCGGTGGCCTCACCAAGCCGGCCGGCTAGCCAGGAACACCAACCGGTTAGACCCTCAGCGCGCACCACATGCGCAAGCTGTAGAATCCGTCACTGTCATCTTCTGCAGTCCCATCTTTAGGAGCAGTCAATAAATTGATCTTGTCAGATCCTTCTGTCATCGACGCCACCACGACGTCGAACACCGCCAGCCTCCTGCGCGCGCCCATCAAACAGTATGCAGCGCCGAGACCCCGTTGCACCTTGCCGCCAAGACGTCGTCGTTGATACTGTAGATGGCACACCACTTCACCTTGGTCATCGCACGAGAAGCATACGAAGACCTGCGCCCAGCCACCTATCCGAACACTTGTCCCTCCAACTTATGTACAACCCCAAAGATGATGCCCTCATGGAGGTGACGGTGCAGGAACCTCACCATCATCCGATCCGAAAAAAGTCTGAATCTGTGGTTTCCTCCGGGTCATACAGGAAACGCAAATCGCCCCACAATGCCTCCAACAAGGAAATAACGCTCACGGGTGTCGTCGTTGACGGTTCTGGCTGAGGCTGAACCAAGCTTTCACTGGCAAATCCGCGCCCATCCCCAGCTGAACCACCAAATCGACCTCCTCCATCATCAAGCAAACCAACGGGTGACGTCTGCTACTGGGCAAAACGCACGACCAGAGCCGCACCACCCCGGAACCGCTACCCTGCCTAGGCGAGCCGTCGACAATGGAGGGGCCCTCACCGCTGCGCCGCTTACGCCGGATGCCGCACACGTCCAGGACACCCACGCGGATCTCCACCGCAACAGCATCCAGAAGTTGCGGTGGAGGAAGGCCCGGCCGCCGCCATCATCCCCCGCTTGAGCTTTGCCCAGCAGAGCTCCGCGACAGCGAGGAGAAGGAGGAAATCGGGAGGGAGGGGATCGAGGAAAGGGGCCGCGCGCGATGGCTCCTCTCTATACGTATATTTGGTGTTATGATAGTAGCAGATTTTTTATAAAAAAAACTGGTTAAACTTAAACAAGTTTGACTTAGACAAACTTAAAACTTCAATCATTTCGATACAGATGAAGTAGCCATCACATTTACATCCAGAACGCGGTAGGACTCTGTGTCGGCGGATTGATCATGTCATGAGCCACCGTGTACGCCATGGATGCGCTCCCCCCACGGCCGACGATCCGGAGCTCCCCCTTCTTGCCGTACTTGAGAGCGAAGGTGGTCATCCGCACCACCCGGCGGCGGCAGCGCGGGTCGTCGTCGTCGTCACCGCTCTGCGCGCAGCACTCAACCAGGCAGTACCTGCTGCCTCCTCCCATGTACACCAGCGTGGCCCCGAGGTGCCCCGCCGACTCGAAGTCGAAGTCGAACAGCCTCTCCTCGCTGACCTTGCAGTCCGGCCCCTCGCTGGCCTCGCCGGCGGGCTCGGCCCGCCTCGACGGCACGTCGCACGACGCGACGTGCCCAGGCGCCGCCTCGTCGGCGAGCCCGACCCACGCGTCCAGCTCGCCGTCGTAGTGCGCCTCCCCGCGGAACGGCAGCAGCCACTCGCCGTGGTAGCGGAACCCGCGGCGGTCGGCGTCGAACGAGTAGGTGCTCTGCTGTCGGATCTGCGCGCCGCCGGGCCGCCACCCCGCGACCGACGCGAACACGGTGCGCCCGTCCGGGTGCCGCGCCTGGCAGGTGACGTACTGGGGGCAGAAGGGCGGGACCGCGTCGTCGACCCCGGACCAGGACCAGGCGGGCGGGGGCCGGTCGTCGTCGTGCGGCGGCTGCGGGCCGAGCTCCTCCACGTGCCGGTAGGCCATGACGAAGAGCCTGTCACCGGCGACCGACGCGTAGAAGGGCTTGGAGAGCAGGCCGCGGGTCGTCTCGGGGAACGGGCACGCCACCACCGCCATCGTGCGGGTGTCGAACCCCCTTCTCTGCGTGCTTTGTGCAGAAACAAGAAACGTAAATTGCTTGGCGCGAACTCTTCCTTCCCTATATAAAAGCGGAGGAGCAACACCGCGTCCGACTAGGACGGGGACCCAACTCCGATCTGTAACGGAGATCAGAGAGAGAGAGAGGCCAACACCGGTGAACAGAGTTTATTTTGGATTGGTTGCAAAAAAGAAAAGGTTTATTTCGAATTTTGATATAGACAGCAATTGATCCAAAATGTTTATTTTAAATTTTGATGTAGACAATAATTGATCCAAAAAGAACACTGTTATCTTGAATTTTGATATAGGCAATAACAGATTTTTTGACATAGACGATAATTGATCCGGAAAGAAGAAGAATCTGATGAGAACAATATGAACCGCATTCGGAGGTGAAAAGAATGGCAGCACACACAGTCATCACAATTCTCAAATCAACAAAACCAGGAGGTAGTGACCACTAGCAAGGCCGAAGATTCAGGCAATGGGACACAGATTTACACAACAGCTAGAAGGAACCTCAGAATATGCAGCCGCTATCAGCACAAGACAAAGATAGCTCTTCGCTTGCGGAGAACACATACCATACCATAGCTCCTTGTTAACATACCAGATAGCATCCTTCCAAGAAAACAGAAAACATACAAGGTAGCATCATCCATACTTGGCAAACAATCACTCCAACCCATGCAACTAAGACAAGATAGTAGAAAGCAGCAATGAAGAACCTAGCTTAGCCCAGGGCAGCCATCAGACCTCCGGATAGGCAGGCACACGCAACGCCCAGGTGTATCAGTGTGGTCTGTACATCGAGATTGCGTCGCCTCCTTTCCCATCCTCGTTCTTCTTCCCATTTTTCATTTTCTGGTACTCTGTATCCTGGCACTAGTCTCAGTCGGTGGTCATGGGCTCGGAGATGCAGCAGCGGAACCGTGCCTTACGGACATTGCTGACAACGTCCGTCTCAGCAGCCTCGAGCATGGTCACAACCTCGTTGAATGATGGGCGGACTTCAGGGTTTGCATCCCAGCAACGGGTCATGATATGGCTTAGAGCGGGCAGGCAATCTTGTGGGATCGCAGGACGAGCGTTCTTGTTCACCACAGCAAAAGCTGCCTGAACCGCTGTCATGTTTGTGAAGGGGAGCATGCCGGTCATGAGCTCCCACAGCACAATCCCAAAGCTATACACGTCGACCTTATGATCATAAGGCCTGTGCTGGATCATCTCCCTGTAAGCACAAAAGACGTCAGCATATTGGAGATATATTTGCACAAATAAAAACAACGGTAGTGGTTGCAATTGACTTACGGCGCCATCCAACGGTAGGTTCCTGTCTCTGGAGTCATTCCCTCGGTTTTTACCTCGATTCGAGCAACTCCAAAGTCTGCAATCTTGATGGATTTGTCTGCTGAAATTAGAAGGTTATCTGACTTCAGATCCCTGTGAATAAATCCCAGGGCATGCACATATGCCATTCCTCTGGCAACATCAAGCGCCTGTTTCACTGCCAATCTCAGGGGCACAGACTTGGTCTGCCTTCGGGCAAGGAACTGCCTGACAGAGCCACCTTTTGCATATTCAGTAATGATACACCAAACAATCGACTTCCTGCATGCCCCGATGAACCTTACGATATTTGGGTGCCTCAACGTGGAAAGCATCATAACTTCTTGCACAAACTGCTGTTCCATCAACTGTGCTCTCTCTAGGTCATTCTCAGGCTTCTCCAGCAGCTTAATGGCAACATCTTCCCCGTTGTATGTTCCCCGATACAGCTTCCCAAAGGCCCCCTGAGCAAAAGGAGCCCCCATGTCCAGCTTCCCCAGATCAATGGTCCACGCCTCATAGCTAGTGAGTATCTCTGTTGGATGAGTCGGGTCCATCAAAACCCGAGCCAGAGCATCCTCCTTGAGAACAGACGCGGCAGCCTTGTTGGGGTAGATGACACTGTTGCAAACCGAATAGTTTGGTGTGGGGACATCACGGAGGCCTGGGTGGTTGAGCATGACGGTGCGGGACTCGTTGGAGGCCACGCTGCTGTTGTCCACCGACATGGCGACCGAGCCGCCGACATAGCTCATCGAGTTCATGTTGTCCGCGCTGTCCACCGACATGTGGGAGCTCTCCCCGACCTTGTGGTAATACGGCATGTCGTAGAAGCCGTTGCTCTCGTTCTCCAGCTTCCCTCTGCCGCCGCCGATGCCAGCGCCGCCCAGCATATTGTGGAACCTTGCCCCCTCAATCATCTTTCAAAGATGCAACACACACCAATGGCAAAGCTTCTGAAAATGATCTGTTGTCCAGGAATAAAATGGTCCCTGCATATATAACCAGGACAGAGTATATGACTGTCCATCGAGATGCGCAGCACATATAACCTAACATATACTACAACACAGGGTAAATTTGCCCCATTGCACGGCTGTGGAGTATGGATAGCAGGCCCCAAAATCCATCCATCCAGCAGCAGCAGCAAAATTAACCTATGTTGACACAGACCAAATTGAGCTTCACCAAGGATACAAGACGCAGCACTGAAGCTCTCCTGCCTACGCATTCCCCACCTAAACCAACCAAAACTAACCCTCGGAGGTTAAAAGCAGGGGGCCTCTCACAAACATGCTAATTCGGCCCTCCCCCCTGCCGAGGCCACCAATCGCCTCCAAAATCAAGCAGGCGGGGGCGGCGACCGGGCCCCAAAAGCTAGGCCAGCCTCTCTCGCCGGCCGTCCAACGGATGGATGGACGGAGCGACGGCGGCGGAGAAGAAGGAAATAGTAAGCGCAACCCTAGCGCAGCGGGCGGTGAAATTGGGCGGACTGGGCGCGGCGGACGTACCTCGGCGGGGAGCGGGGCGGCGGCCGGAGGAGGGGGGGAGCGGCGGCGGCGGCCGGACGGCGGGGGGAATCCGGGGGCGGATTGGCGTGCTGTGCCTGCCTGACTGCGAGGCGACGACTCGGAAGGGGAGGAAGTCGGGAGTGGAGGGGAGAAAGAGAGAAGAACAGCTCACTGTGGGATGGATTCCCCGTCGGCCTCGCTCTCCCTTTTTCTTTTCTTTCTTTTTTCACCGTCTTCTCTCGGTGCGAGCGAGGATAATGTGAGATATCCACGGCCCACCTTGGCCCGGCCCTCTGCTCCTGGGCCGGGGCCCGTCGACGGCACGCAAAAATGGAAAGCCTGCTGCAGTTTAATTTTTTTCACAGTCACCGGGGGAGAGCTCGCCATCTGAATTTGATCTCATTAGGCCATGTACAATGCAAGGTGCTTGGGTAGGTGCTTAGAGAAATACTCCCTTCATCCCATAATGTAAGACGTTTTTTGACACTACAGGGAGTAATTAGTTTTTCTGTAAGCACTGGTGCTTATTTGTAGAGGGTAGACGCTTAATTAAGCATTTGTCCTGTAGAAATAAGCATCGGTGCTTAAGAAAAACTCTATTTATTTTACTAAACATCTCCCTAAGCACCTCCCATTGTACAAGGCCTGAAAAGAAAAAATTGATCCTGTTTACAAGAGAAACCGGGTTGAAAAACTGAACAAGTTGACCCATTTATGAAGGAAATCAGGCTGAAAACCGTACAGATAACAGGGGTAAAGATGAGAAAAAGAAATATAGACGCCCAGAAGAAGGCACAACCTAGCTAGCAAACACAAGGACCATCATGACAAGAGGCGCAAGTAGATGTGGGGTGTCGTCGAGGGATCACAATACCAAAACTTTACAAGTTACATGACAAACATCTTGAAGCATGCAAGGTAATTTACTAGCAACAGGCCATACCTTCCTTTCCTAATAAAAACTTTCGCTGCCGGTGTCCCGGTAATCAGACCCTCCGTTCAGATCATGCCGCCGCCGATGTTGCACAGATCCTTCCTGCTGATCAGCACCCGAATAATCGTTGCCACCAGCACCGCCATGAACCCCGGTCGTCTCCACCAACGCCATCGCGACCCGGCCACCGCGGCCAACGCCACCACGGGTCAAGTGTCACCGCCGCCGAAAAGAGGGTGGGGTTCGGGTGTGATTTTACCTTTCCACGAAGGGGAACCATCGAATCGAACATCGCCGCCAAGCAATGTCAGCTCTGGTTACAAATTTGTCAGATCCAATCGAAATCAAGAGGGTCGTCGATTATAGTAGTTAATTGCATCTATCTATGTTCTAGCCTTTCGGCAGAAATGGGGAATGAAAAGCTTATATAAAACGCAACCTAGCCACAACCCGATTTTTATATAGGCAGAAATTAACCCAGACAAGTAAGTGAAGGTAACAGTAATAACGACTAGTGGATGGTAAACAGTAGGGATAAGATCTCGGCCATTGAGCAACATCCAGACAATGCAGAGCTGAGGGTGGTGGTCCAATTCATGAAGCGATGTCTGAAGAAATAGATAGCCTCTGAATATGAACGACACTTCGTCATATACCTGACACCTCCATTGTTCCTGGGCCAAGCAGTCGGGCCTGTGACACCATCGACGGCCCGGCTCGCTGTGACACCAGCACGTTAATCAAGGCCTGCCAATGCTCAAACAAAAAAGCAAGGCTCGCCAATCGCGCGTCAGTAGAGACCAGCGTCTAGCGCTCTTGCCCCTATCAGAGGGAGCCGGATCCTCTAACGTTACGGAGAGAAGTCAGGGCTTGACATCCCATCAGGAAAACAACTTGATATTATTAAATCAAGAACTTTCAAAAGCATGAGCACACAAAATTCCTACTCTCTCCAACCGCGCACAACTACATGAAGTCGTTTGTTGGTGATTGTCTCCAACAACTTTGTATTCTTCTTCAAATGTTGCATATTACCCATCAACAAGCCTTTCAATCTTAACCATGAATTCATTGTCTTCGGGTAGTATATCAGCACATGCTGCCATTGACCTCCCATATTCGGTTTGAAAAGCTTCAAATATAGCAAGAGTATTGCGCAGCAGGGAGCCGAATTAGCATGTTTAATTCAGACTACTGACTTG